CTTTTATTTAGTTCTTTGCATTTTGTCTGCTTTATGCAGGAGCAACATCAAATGTGAAATGTTAGCCTGGAAATGCACACAATTCATATCAAGTGTCCAGAACAAGATTACAATACGTCTCTCCATATTACCCCACCAAAAGCTTATGATGAAGAGCCTTCCTTAGTTTCACTAACAGTCACATTTTTAAAAATAGGGCCGAATTCCATTTCCCAGAGAGGCATCTGCACACAGAATTGTATAAATAATACATATCATTATTGCTAACATTTACAATGTTACAGCTGGCAGCTAATAACAGTAATAGACAAAAAACTTGAATGACTCACTTTCTTCTTGTTTTGTTATGGGGCTGTGGTAGATCTACAAAAGAGAAACAGAAAGGGCCATGGCCATTGTGAACCACTATAGGTAAGTAGGGCAAATAACGTTAAACGTCTTTACAAAGATCGGCCATAAAAAAAATCAATACACACACCAAGGTTTTAACAAAAAAGAAAAGTTGGCTAAATAGAATCATCTTTGCCCAACTATTAGTAAAACAATTACTAAAAATTCCCCTGGATTTCACACAGTTCACTGTAACTGAAGTTGTACCAAATCCATAGTAGACACTGACTTACGTGAAGCTTGGAGAATTTTTATAATGGAACAAAAAGTGCATGAGAGAAAGGAAGTGTTTTTCTCATGGATACCTGACTAACGGGTATTAGTGGTAACATTTAAATGTCCCCAACACCAATCTCCCACCGTAAAAACTAGTTAATGTATGTTTCCTGTGGAAAGGCAAGTGACCATCTCAAAGAGATCCATGTATTTACCAAGATTTCTCTTAGTTGTCTTGAAGTATGCATTGTGATAGTGATGTGAGACAGCAGACGGAAGAATCTTTAATCTTGAAGTCCTGTCCTGGAGTCACCTCAACCACATTAGAAAATCTTGGGCAAACCCTTTCTATTCTCTAGATTTGAAAGTTTGTCAGTAAAGTGATCAGGACTGGACTAGATGTTTCTTCAAGGCCTGATCTCTGACATATTAAGCAAAGGCATGCATATGGTGTGTACAACTAGGGGACTGCGGTGTTTAGTAAAGTAGCAATGACATGAGCAACATAAGGCTGCAGGAAATTAAACCCTCTTCGAGCCATCTGTTACATTCTGTTTCAACAGGGCCTCCTTTTCATAAAAAAAAATTCTGCATATGTGTGTATATCCGTGGATATTTTAATGAGAGAGATATCTGTGCTGGACAGCCTTTGCTGCCACTTTTATAAACAAGACATTTGTGAAAAGTCTGCCATGATCGAGTTGGTGTGGCTCTACATTCAGTGGGCCCATGTGCTAACATCCTTCTCCACAAACAGCTATCTGCATCTTTTGATCTTTAAAAATGTAAAGCAAGAGCAAATGCAGGAGAATGAATCAACAGATAAATGCATAGCTGAGCCTCCTAAAATCCTCCTGGAGAAGCATCTCAGGTATATAAGAGTTAAGCAACAGATTTCTAGGAAATGACAGGAAAGAAGGTCCTAGACTACTTTCTGGATGGCAGACCTTACAACACTTCTCTCCTGCTGTGTTCCAGGTTACTATAAATGTAATCTGAGATCTGGTTACTCCTCTTCAGTCTACAGGATACTGAGGAGATACAGAAAGAAAAATCTCGAATGCATTATCCCTCATAGCCAGTTGGATGCAGTCTTATCACTCACAGGCGATAAGAATGTATCCAAATACTGTTGAATCTTAGTAGTTTTGCACCCGTCCTTCAGCTCAGTTACGAGCACCTAAAATTAAGAGAATACATTATGGTTAACAGAAAGGCTTTCATCTGGTTTCTCAAAGTGACCCTGTAAGGTAGGTAGAACACTAAGCCATTCTATTGAAGAAAGGAAAATTGAGTCTCAGAAAAGTCAAACGACTTGCTCATGGTCACGCAACCATTTAATGTCAGAACCAGGATGTAAATCTAGGCTTTTGGAATTCCAACACCAGGAAGCTGCTATTACTCCACATGGCATTAAGAAATGTTTGAGGAAGATACCGAAGAGAGAATGTTTTCCAAAGATTTCTGACTGTTCATACTGTACTCTTGTTGATAATCACTAACTCTTTTAAAGGATTGCTTGCCCTACTGTACAACAGCATCCGAAATCGAGTGGTACATCATGAGATACAGGATGGCAATGCCAGCTCCTCTACCAGCTGTACTCTTAAAGAGAATGAGCTGAGTTGGGAGTTTAAGAGGGTGGGGGGCATAAAAATCATCATGATTAAAAGCTTAAAAAATGCTCATTCATAACCACAGCAATTGTTTTCTATCCTTCTAGATGAACACACATTAATTTTATAGTCCAAAAAAAGGATTAATTTGGTTTCTTAAGAAGATCTTCTGGCCAGGCGTGATGGCTCACACCTATTATCCTAGCAATCTGTGAGGCAGAGGCCGGAGGATAGCTTGAGGACAGGAGTTTGAGACCAGCCTGAGAAAGAACAAGACCCCCACCTCTACTAAAAATAGAAAAAGTAGCCAGGCGCTGTGGCCCGAGACTGTGGTTCCACCTACTTGGGAGGCTGAGGCATGAGGATCACTCGAGCCCAGGAGTTTGAGGTTGCTGTGAGCTAGGCTGATACCATAGCATTCTAGCCTGGGAGACATAGCAAGACTCTGTCTTAAAAAAAAAAAAAATAGGAGAAGAAGAAGAAGATCTTCTAGCAATAGCTACATAGTCTAACTCTTCAGCAGGGAACTGAGAGACCTGCATTCTAAGCCCAACTTTAATGCTTTCTCTGAGGGTGATCTTAGACAAGTCCATCATTCTCTCTGGAACTCAAATACCTTACTTGTTAAAAAAAAAAAGACGTGGAAGCAACAATTTCTTCCAGCTCTAAAGCTTTGAGTCTAAAGACTCTATTACCATCTAATTGTTTTACACCCACTGATGCCACTAGAGAGCACTCATACACTGGCCTCTGCTGGAAGGATTCTCCAGGGTTGGGTAACTTACGGGCTCCTTCCCATCCATGGCTTCCATCCATAGCCTTCTATTAGCTTCTGAAAGGGCCTGCAGAGTGATGGTTCCGGGCCTGAGGAAAAAATGACAAGTTTAAAGCAAAAAAATTCACCTAACAGGAGGAAATCTTAAAACAATCCAGGATCCCTCTCTGCCCTGAAAGGTATCCCACTTAGCAGTCAAAGGCCTACAGAAAGCTAATTTCTCAAAATCTCTTTTTACTTAGAATAATGTGGGTAATTTAAAGAAGTGCAACTTTGGGACCCCTGGGGGAAGTGTTATCTTGGTTATCTTGGTGGTCTAGTGCCAAGGATAGGCAAGGAAATAGGAAAGTGAATGTCAAGACATCTCACATAATGCACATCTAAATTGGCCCCACTGTGTTTCAGCCAAATCGAGGCTCTCCCTGCCTCCCTCTCTTGGAAGCCAGCCACCAAGAGTGAGCGTGTACATCACGGGCACATTCATCTGTCATGAAAATGGCTTTACCGCTTCTCCCATGCAGGATGTCCAGGAAGCACTTTCAGCTGGGAAGAACTCAACAACACTCACACTGGCTAAGCCGCAGGGAGGAGGCTTTTTGGCTTACAAGCAATCCTATGACTAATAACAACAACTAATATTTATTAAATGCATATTAGGTGCCAGATTCTGTTCTAACTACTTTACAAATGCGAACTCTATTAATCTACACAACAAGTCTATGAAGCAGTTACTATGGTCGTCATCCCTATTTACTAAAGGGGAAGCACAGAGAGGTTATCCAAGGTCACAGAGTGAAAAAGTGGTAGAGACAGGATTTACATCCAAAGTCTGACCCAGCAGCCATATTTTTAAACACTACACTGTAGGGCCTCTTTTGCATGGCAAATGGCTTCAAACCCAACTTTATTTTATTTATTTGAAGGACACTAGATATGGCCTGAATATCGTCTAAATTCTTACGTTGAAACTTAATTGCCAAGGTAATAGTGGTAAAAGGCGGAAGGGTGAAACCCTCGTGGATGGGATTAGGCCCCTTTTAAGAAGGCTTGATGGAGTGGGTCTGTTCTCTTATATTCCTTCCACCACGTAAGGACACGGTGTTTTATCATCCCAGAGAATAAGCAACAAAGCCAAGACTGGGCCCTCACCACACACTGAACCTGCCACTGCCTTCATCTTGGACTTCCAGCTTCTAAAACAGTGAGAAATAAATTTCTATTATTTATATAATACCCCATATCAGGTATTTTGTTATAGATGCACAAATGAATTAAGACACTACCTATATACCCAGAGATACCCAAGTTGATATACTCTTTATGGTATTTACAGACCTTTACAACTAAACTGGAAATTTTACATTAACCGTACTATTGCAAGCATAGACTCTACTTGTATTCTCTGGCTGGCTATGCCATTAGGAAAACCTCGTTCTTCTTACTGCTTCTATGATTAGATGAAATCTCTCCCAGAGTCATACAATGATAATAGCAATGACAAGAGACATCATAGAATCCTGGATAAGACACTGAACCTGTCTGTACCTCCGTTTCTTTATCTGTAAGGGTACTGAAACACGAGAGCTGAAAGGTCCTTTCCAGAACTGATATCATGGGCTCCTTTTCTACTTGTCCTCCTATCTCTTATTTCATAAAAATACCCCTTAGACAGAAAGCCCACAAATGACCTTTGAGCCGGACTCCACTGACCACCAGGACATGGCACTAGGCACTGGATTCTATCAAGTTTACCTCTCTTTAACACACACCCATCCTTTTAGATATATCTCATGGGGCTAGAAAGTCTAGGAAACTGTCAAGACAGCTACCCAGCTGAATCCTTAAGCCAGAAGTAAAGAGAGCAAGCACATGTACAACAGACAAAAAAGGAAACACTGAACACCACATATGCTATTAAACCTCTTCTGGAACTCGGCTTTAGTATCAGGAAAATAGAAAACCTGGTATGTGCTCTCTTGACCTTGCAGAGAGGCTAAAAGAATAAGTAAATGGCTATTCAGGAAGGATTTGGAGATCCTTAGTTACTACAGAAAGTCAAATCAAAGAAGAAAATAGCTAAGAACAGGATGAAAAGGTGGAAAAAGTATTAACTTCTAGTCCAGGCTTCTCCACTAATTATCTTGATGACCTGAGACAAATCCACTGCCCTCCATGGGATCAGTCACCCACCTGGAACAAAAAACCATGTACCAAAAAGGCATATGTATAGCATATCAGCAGTAGAGGGCAGTAGAGTGTTGCCTTGAAGATGAGAATGCCTGGATTTAGAAACTGGCTCTACAATTTATGTGTTCGGTCTAAATTGCTTGCTTAACTTTCCTCTGCTTCCCTGTCTTCATTTGTAAAATGGGGATAATAACAGCCCCTTTCACATGACTGCAGTGAGGACTAAAAGAAATTATACACTTACGGGGCCGAGAACAGTGCCTGACACACAGGAAGTACTTGGCAAATATCAGTACTTGTGGTTATTGTTATTACTACTATTATTAATATTATTATTAAGACCCTTCAAGCTCTGATGTGCTGATCCTGTGGTTTCAAAGACTTGTAGGAACCTAAATTTTAATAATGTTATCCTCTCTTCCTGAAATAGAAAAAGAGATTCAAAGGGCCCTTTGCTCTGTGATCCAGGGAACATGAGCACAGGTGTTTGATGCCAGCCGGGACTCTGTTTCTTACATGAGACTGCCCGGCCAGGAAAGCACACGTCATGTGCCTCAGAAAGCTCCACATGCAGAAAGGGTCATAAGCACATGTTCATTATTATAGTCAATGATCTATCTCACACCATGTTTATTTTGCTTATGATAGACAATGGAACAAACTGAAAAAGAGTATGAATTCTGGAGACCTAAACCCCAGGATCTGAGCTCAGCCTCACCACAGACTACGTGATTTTGGTTAAGCAAATCGGTTAAATGTACTTGGTTCTCAGTCTCCACACCTGGAAAATGGGGGGCAGATTAAATGAGGGAATGTTTTTTAAAGTGCACAATATATGTCAAAACGTTTTAAATCCTGGGTTCTAGTCTCAGAATTCCTCAGCACTCCATGGTAAGAAAAAGATACATTTAAAAATAAAACTCAAATGTAGTACCTACCATGAGCCATGCATAGCAAAAGGTACCAAAAAAATAAAGATAAATGGGTCCAAACCCCTGATATCAAGGTCAAACTATCTGCAACTCCTTTGACTTGGAGATATTATTTGCATGAAAGGGAAATCACAGCCAGTGGTAATATTCCCCTCCCACTGGCCCCAAGGCTGTCAGGAAAATGATTGACAGTCTCATGGTGACTGGCAATATTGGTTAATTATATACATTTT